CAATTCATTTCCTATTACTCCTATATGAGATGGAACCCATGTAAAAAATGACAATTAATCCCATAGTCTGAATTCTAAAAAGTATTATCTGAATCTCCAATAGAAGGTCTGGTCTACTATTGGACTGATTATTTTTAATTGAATATAACGATGAGCTTGAATCAGAGCAAATTAAACTTCTTAAAGGACGAACATCTTCAATCCAAGTCAAAGCCAAAATAATTCCCATCATTTCCCCGAAGCTGCTGCTGCTGCTTCTTCTTCTTCTTCTTCTTCTTCTGAGGTTTTATGGCGTTTGGCAAACATGTGAGAAGTGCATTAGCGCCACCAACTGATATGGAGTAAAGCAAGGAAACAGGAAACGATTCACCCCAGAAACAAAAAATACTGTGTAACTTAACCCAACATAATAAATACTAAATCACATTTGCCCTTATAATCTTAATTTCTTCATTGTCACTCTGCCAGTTTCTGATGGTCCTACTGGTTTTCCCATCATGCTTCCAACCATCTCCCAGTTTAAATCTTTTACGTCCAGATATTTTTCTGCAGCCTTCACTATTATTTAGATTTTTTTCCCCGTTTTTTCTTGTCGTCTGTGCTACAGTTAATCACTTCCACCATGAATAGAACAAAATCTCTCTTTTTAACAATTAGTGAGTCTTCTTCAGTTTTTGGACATTTCTCCAGAGGTTTGGAATCTGCCATAAGTTGAACTGTTGGTTTGTTTTTTCCTGACTGAGATGGGATCCTTTTAGCAGCTTCAGCGTAGGTTATTCTGAGCTCAAATTTTATTATTTTATTTCCTCAGACCTTTTGCTTGCTTCACAGCCGCGATAAGCAGCAGAATGTTCTCCATACTGCTGTTCTCCATTGAGCTTCTTTTCCGTGCTCATGCTCTCCTGCAGTCCTTCCATGCCTCTGTTTCCCTTTACAAACTGCTGCTACTCGACCGAATTTTTGGCATTTAAAACATCTCAAAGGTGGAGGATTATTAACATTATAACTGATGTAACCGATGAATACTTTGCTTGGTAATTGCTCTTCCTCTAATTTAATTAGCACAGATAAACTGTCAGATCTTTCTCCGTTTGTTGTTGTTTTTAACCGTTTTACTTCTTTTACTTTTGCACCGCTTATGTTTTCCAGAATCTCTTTTTCAGAAACTCTTAGAGGAACTCCTCCAATGACTCCCCTGCTGATCTTCTTGTTCTCCACTGAACTCTTATCCCTCCATCTTGTTGATTCGTATTGCTTTGCCTTGCTGGGCGCTGTCTCTGCAGTTAATTAGCAGGTCTCCACTGTACAGGATTCTGGCTCCTCTGACTTCTCCAACAAGTTTATTGATGGTTTTTGTTCAGTGAACCGGATTCCAATCAGTAGAAGATTCTGCCTGATTAACGACTTTGAATATGACTTTGAATTCATTTTGTTTTGCTGTGGAATGTATGGATTGATCATCACTGGATTGTTCTGAACTGGACTCTCCTTTAACTGATCTCTGCTTTTTCCGCTTTTTCTCATATTTTCTGATGTTGCTATCTTCCAACCTTCATTGTCACTATTTCCCTCTTCCATCCCACAAGAATCGCTTCCTGTTTCCTCGCCGCTCACGGCCCAGGACATTTCTCCACAAGCGGCTTAGAAACACGCGCCATGCACCAAACGACCATCCACCACCGCTGTGACTCGTCTCTGTTGCTGTAGCCACGGTGGGGGGAGGAGCTTCTGATGGGGCCTGCTGCCGCCGCCGCTTTCGCCTTCTTCGTCTGCTTCTTCTTGGGATTTAAAGTTTTTTTTTTTTTTTTTTTTTACAACTGTGGGGGTTTAATAATGTTTTGTTCACCATTTCCAATGATGGTGAACTAAAATATAACAAGCTGTGATTCTAATAATGTATTGTCAACCTTTTTTTTTTTTTTTTTTTACCAATTGTTGTTAAATAATTTTTCAATAAATGTTTTGTTAAAAAAAAAATCTTCGTGTTTAATGGCCGCCTGCTGCCCCCCTCTGGTCACAAACGGAGTGATGTCATGAGATGAGCCGAGGCGCGTGTCGAGGCGTGATTCGTTTAGAGGAGGGACCAAAATTGATGACGTCCGAGGCCTCGCCACCGCGATACCATGTGACCGCTTCAGGAAGTGGTTCAGACAGCGCAAGAATTTAGACAGGCATCTAAACAGCCTCAGTGTTCAGTCAGGATGATGGAGTTCGGAGGAGAGCTGCTGTCAGTAGAATAGAGTTTGGATAGATTCTAAGAATAGATTGGTTGGAAAAACAACCAATCTAGTAGCTAAAAACTATTTTGTCATATCAAACAATGTAATGATCAAATTAAGTAGTTTTTCCTCCACATGTCAGATGATATTAGTGGCGTCATCTGAGAGAAACAGGCTTCCCCTCTAGAGGTTGATGGTTGAAGACCTGCCTTTAACTTTTAAAGTTGCTATTAAAGTTAATTATTTTGGCTAATAAACTAATTTTCATCGGTTTGCTCTAGTTAAAATATAGATTGGATAAAAACGCTGCAGAATTCGATCGGTTTAGCCAAAGATCGGTTGAACATAACTTCCAACCTGATTAAAACCAAAAACTGGAAAAACTATCATGTTTGAATAAAATGACTAACAGCTTTCATTTTGCTCATCATTACCCAGTTTTAACACTTTCACTGCCTGCTTGAGTTTATTTCACTAAAATGGATGAAAAACTGAACCTTAAATGATTGGTCTAAGAAATTTTACATTTAAAAAAACAACCAGATTTTATTACTAACTGTAGTTCTGCAGTCCACCAGCAGGTGGCGACATGTTCACCTGAAGCTTCATGAACTGTGAGGATTATTGAAGCATTTTGGCCAAATGTCCAATGAGGCTCCATCTCTACAGAACCAGAACCGCTGCTCCCCGTCATCACCAGGCCTGGGTGATGCGTTCAGGTGCTGGAGTTGCTGTAGGAAACCTGTGCTTCTTCTTCTTTAATGGCAGCAGAGGCGTAGCCAGTCAAAAACCACTGTAAACTGAGGGGGGGCTGAAAGCGACAGGCAGCAGAACCTAAGGGTCCATCTGCTCTGTTCCAGCAGGAACGAGCTCAACATCCAGATTTTATAAATAAAGACAAACTAAACGTTTCTACTGTTTACCTTTAATAAC